CTTTGAATTACATGCTGTGTATTAAGGCTGTTGGATCAAGAGAAAGATTTGTTGTTGTTGTTTTTAATTTTTTTTATCTGTTTTCATTGTTGTTTTGGCTATTTCTCTGTTTTATATTCATATTCATTTGGGGATTCTACACATTTATTTGCTAACAGCAAAAATAGGAAGGCAAATGTAAAACAATCTTTGTTATATGACCTCTTCTTAGATTATAAAATTTGAGAGGGTACTAGTCCCTGTTTCATAATTTATTTATTATTAAATTTAGACTTGCTTTTAAGTTACTATCTATTAAATCATTCTATTAGGTTAATTCTTGGAGTCAAACTTTCAAAAATTTGAATTATTATGACTTTCACATTTATTTTCTTTCATTTATTCTTTGAAATTTCATTTTATTGTGGCCACTTGCACATTTAGAACTTTGGTTTTCTCTTTAAGTGATAGGGATTAAAATTTAAATCAGAAAATAACCCATAACTGCCTGCCCAATAGCAACTTCTTCTTGAGCTACTTGAGCCTGCTCTAGCCCTAAAACATTCCTTCCCATTTTCACAAAACCTTCAAGCCTCATGGACTTGGACAAATGATTCTTTTTAAAGTTGTAGATTTTATCTTTCAATCTTATATCTTGTCAAAATTACACAAATGAAAAAAACAATGTGATACCATCTTTTATGTGCTAATTTATCCCTTCTCCCCAAAATAAAAACAGTTAAGATATTATTTATCACTAACAATTATGAAATGAACTGCACAGCGTTATAACATATTGGTGGCATTATAAGTTGGCACAACTTTTCTGTACAATAATTTGATAATTCCTATCAAAGAAATTTTGTCACCTCCAAAAATCACATTTTTGAAATACTGTTGATTCTTAAGGAATCAATAAAAAGTATTAAAAAGTATTCAAATGTTATTCATCTTTCTACTTATAATAAAACATTTTTTGAAAGAAGCTTTAATGGTTAACTGCAGAGTAAAAATTAAAATTTTATGACATAATCATTGATCATCTACTTTTCAACAATAAAAATTATGAGATAAAAGGAAAAATATTATGAGATTATGCTTCTAGAAAAAAGCAAGATACAAGATACTAAAACAATCATATACCAGGAATATATAACATAGATTGATATTATAGTAACATGTCTAAATTATCAGAATTATTGAATGCAGGCAAAGTTTCTATAATCTTCATGTCATTTTTTAGTCTTTAAACTGTGTATTAGTATTTGTAATTTAATACATTTAGAGCAAAACAAGTCTCTGTTGCAACACATCCAAATTTTATTTATATAAAATTTCTAATTTTCTATACCTACAACTTTCAAAAGGTTTCTAGAACCTTTTTTTTTTATCCAAGGGATAAATGTGAAAAGTCCTGAGCTAGAACTGTCATTTAAAAAATACTTAACATTATGACCTCAACTCAAAAGTTTATAAAACCTTTGTAAGTATATAAAGTTTTATACATACATGTCTGTGAAAATTGTTTTCTTATCCTGATTACCTAGGCATGTTGCAATCCAGATTTTAAAAAGTACTATGAAACAAATTAAAATTGATTTAACAAAGACACTATTATTTATACATTTGTATGTCGATGTTAAGTTAGGAGCAATTGAAAATATGCTCAACGCTCCTCTTATTTTTAATAATGTACATTCAATACACACTATAGGTTATTTTATATTTTTTATTTAAGCAAATATCATGTATATTTGTTGGCACAAGAGTAAGATAATCATATTATTTTCGACCTTGAATTTTTCGCCCCAGTTGGTGATTTTTAAAGACAATTTAATCATGGAGTTTATTATTACTATTTTAATTAGTATATTGCTGCCACTTTTAAGGTGATTCACAGATCTTACAGATCTTAAATAACCATGGAAAATGCCTTACAATATTTTACAATAATACAATAAAAACAAAGAAAACAGGTTCTGTCTTTAATACAAAAGTTATTTTTAAAACCACAAAAAAATTCTATACTCTGCCTTGCTTCTTTTTAACTTATTTTTTACTATTGCTCTGAAACTAACCAGGGTGCAGAGGTGCAAAACCAGGAACGACCAACAGTAAGTGTGTTTTAATTACTTCTGGTAGAGGCAAGAATTTCTCCTTCTGCAAGTTTCTGTGATATTAAAATGCTTTCTGTCTAATGTCTAAATAAATATTTAAACTCCATAAATAATGTAATAATCTTTGTAAAACTATCTTCACCTCAGCAACCAACCATGTGAATCAACCTCAAGGTTCACATGAAAATCTTGGTTTGATTTTATAGCCCAAGTCATGTGTTTTTAGTTTTCTTGTATTGTTAACAACATGAGAAAACATTCTCAGAATTTAATATTGAGAAAAAAATAAAAACAAAAATAAAGTTTAATATCTCTCCTGCCTGCTTTTTAAGACTTTGGGAAAGACCCCACTCTGACTCACCTTCGAATATTTTTCATACATTTGTCTTTACTTCCTTCTTTTGTTTCCCAAATATGTTTGAATAAATACATTTAAATATGTATTCTTTTATGAGAAATGCTTGCTTGCAATGTAATTTTGTTGATTTATTTCATATGGAAAGATCTAATAATATATTTTGGTAAATATACATAATCAGTAGAACAGAGGCACATAAAAATTGAAAATTTCCTAACTGATTTTTAAGGGATAAAATTAAGCTGAAAAATATCCAAAGTATAAGTCTAGGAATTCTCACACATCATTTTATTTTATTATTATTTTACTATTTTACTATAATTAGGTTTAGGGGGAAAAAAATCAGCCTAACCTCTAAATAAATAAAATTTGTAAACAATTACAAATGTGTGGTGGCAATACACATATACATATATACATATATATAAATATATAGTTTTCCCTGTGTGTGGTATGTTTGTGTATAGTATGTCAAAGCTTTCTATGAAAGCTTATTATAAGGCCTAATATTTACTGAGCACTTTTTATTTATGCCAAGTTCTAGGCAATGTGGTTTTACATTATGGATTACCTCATCTAATTTGTTTGAAACTAATATTTTTTTAAAATATTTGTTAAAAATCAAAAAGTGGATGGAAAGTATATAAATCATATCTTGTAAAATAATATGGTTGCTGGGTTCACTACTTCCAATATTGTACTTACTCAATATTGTACTTACTCAATATTGAGTAAGTACAATATTGGAAGTAGTGAACCCAGCAACCATAAATACTATAAGATATAATTTCAAAAAATTCTGATTTGAGGTATCTCTACATTCTACCCTACAATGATACCAGATTTCATAAATGTATTCTCTTTGCAGGGCTGCGAGAATAACGAAAGATCGTTCAATCAAAACGCAGTCAAATTTATTCCAATTCATTATGCACTGAATAACTATCTTCATTCTGAACCCAATTACTACCAGTATAGACTAGCTTCACTAATTAATAACCAATATATGTCTTACCCATATTATGCAAAATCAGTTACAGTTAGGCCACATGCCCAAATTTCTCAGTGGCAAGTCTTGCCAAATATTTACTCATCCATTGTGGCACGTCACCAATACCTACATCCATCGCTTATTGCCGTTCCCTCAAAGAAAATTCAGGATAAAACAGTCATCCCTAGCATCAATACCATTGCCACTGTTAAGCCTACACTTATTCCTACCCCTGAACCAACAGTGAGCTCTGTAGTTATTCCAGAAGCTTCCTCAGATTTTGTCGTAAGCACACCTGAGACTACTACTGTCACAATTACTTCATCAACAGTCTAAAAACTCTATGGAAGCATCAAAGAAGAAAACACAGGTAAATGAGCAAAAGAAAAAAATAAATAAAGATAAGATTCATGGATTTATCAATACAATCATAAAATCTAAAAGTATAAATGGATAAATTAAGTCTGTTATGGGGACAGGCAAAATAGGATGATTATAATTTTAATTTAGTTGTGCTATAACATTGGTACACTCAATTCTGTTCCAACAAGCAATGAAAAATAGTGTTATTTTACAAATTAAAGAAAAACTTGGAGACTTTATCATTAAACTGTTTTTCAACAATTGGAACACTCCTAGAAACTATTTTATTTCATTCCTAATCACACACAAAGACAATAAAGTAAAATATTTTGTTAAACTTATGATTTTTCTCATTTCTAAAATAAATTTTTAGAACAATTTATACTGAATATGAGTTTAAATACATTTTAGTCATTTAGCAGAGTTGTTATGATCTAATTTTTTTATGAATAAACTGAAAGGAAATGTTTTCACGCATTTTTTTTATTTCAGATATCATTTCTGAAAGGGTCAATGAAGTTAGGCACCCCAAATTTCTCCTGTTCTATAATAAACTCACAGAAGAATTCTAATTCTTAACTTCAAAAGCATATATATATTAAAAGGATACTTTCATAATATTAAATGTGATGCAAAATGTTTCTATTTGTTCTTTGGATAAATGGATAATGGCAGTCTAAATTAATTTGAAATGTATGGAATAAGTTAAATAAAGAGAAAGATTAATAAAATAGGAAATTACCAAAGAGTGTAAAATAATTTCGGGAGTTACCAAACTTTGAGAGTACAACAAATATTTTCAGTGCTTCACTCTGTCTACATGTTTTATGATCTAAAATACAACACAGTGATCTGGTAACAGCATTACATCAGAGAAGGCTGCTTCCTCCACCTATGTGACCTTAGGCAAGTCGTTATTCTCTCTGAACTTTCATTTTCTCATAATTTGGTTGTTATGAGATTCAAATGAGACTGCATATTGTGAAAAATTTACAAAAGCTGATAAATCTGTAAAATGTAATGCATTAGTAAATATTAAAATTTACTTACAGCCAATATCTCAAGTCTTAATTAAATGATAAAAGCTTTACATAATTGTCTCAGTTTATTCCTATGGGACAGATTTTATCACTATCCTGAATTCACAAATGGAAAAAAAAAAAAAAAAAGGCCTATAGATGTCAAGTAAGTTACCATAACTAGAAAATTTTAAACTGGGAACCAAACCAAGTCTGTCTGATTTCAGATAATGAGGCATAATTATTATGTCATCAATTTTCATATGGTTGTCTAATGTGCAGAAAAAAATAAAACATACTATGGTTTCTTTAGGTCAGCGTATGTGTATATTGTATTATTTAATTGACATTTAACAAGACATCTCATAAGAAAATGATAATAAGCTGCATAAAATTTGACTTATTCAAATTTAGAAAACAAATAAGAAAATTAATGGAGACAACATGAAATCAAGTTATTTAGTATGCAAGTTTACTATTTAGAAAGCAAGTTTATTATTGATCCAAATATATTATTACATGATTGTGTTTTTCATAGAAAAATCATAATTTCAATCTTTATATTTGTTTAAAACTCACAAATCTAGATTTCTAAGTTAAACCATTGTATGTCATTTATAAAGAAGCACATAAAAGACAGCATCTATCTATAAATATTAGGTGAAATCAACTATTTACTGTTCACTATAGGCCAAGGTTAAATATTTAAACAAATATTAATAAACTCCTTGTATACTAACTCCTTGGATACAAAGAGACAAATCATGGAAGCTAAATAAAATCTACACATCATGATAGCTATTAATACATTAATAACTAAATTCCAAAAATGTTTTCATTTTTTTATAGGTCTTGCTGAAACCAAATGATGACTTCATACTCTCCTTTGACTGCTTCTCCGCCTTCAGTCAAGAGAAAATTCAGCTCCTTTCTCTTCTCCCCTTTTATTTTACTTTTATGCCACATTTAATTTTTTGGTTCTTGCATAATAAAGCCAACTGAATGCAACAGGATCTCTTAACTTGAGAGGAGTCTGTGTATAAGCTTCAGGGTTCTTTGAAAGTTTGAAATTCCGAGGCAAATTTAGTGTGAGTTTGAGTACAGAAGTTTAACTGGAGACGAAGTTCATAATTTAATCTGATTCTCAAAGTGATTCATGGTCTAACACTAATTAAAAATGTCTTCTCCAGGATGACACCAGAACTGCTAAATTTATGGCGTAGTCATTGGGACCAGAGAAGAACTAAGCCAGTATGTTCCAATCCAGAGGACCTTAAAGTGACTCTTATGAGCCATAGGGAACCTAGAGTTAGTATTACATTTAAGGGCCCAAGTATATTGCTGACTTTAGTCTAAGAAGTCCCAAGAGCAAATCCTGGGCATAGTCAGGTTACAGATGATCAAAACCACAAACACAGATGCATGACAACATTAACAGGCGTTGACTGAGGCTCTTGTCTTGCATGACTAATTTTCTCCAGACTGGAAGCTACAGTCTCCCATCTGTCCAAACACACATAGAGACACATACAACACACACACACACACACACACACACACACACACACACACACACATCCCTGGAAGCTTCTGGAATTGAGGTCCATTGGTCTACAAAAATTGATGAATACTCAAAGTTCAAAAATATGACATAGTTTTTTTTTCTTAATCAAACACAGCAATGAATGGAAGCAATCTAAGTGTCCTTCAACAGACGATTGGTTAGAGAAGATGCCGTACATATAAACAATGGAATGTTACTTGGCCATAAAAAATAAAATCTTACCATTTGCAATGACATGGATGAACCTAGAAGATATTATGCTAAGTGAAAGAAGTCAGACAGGGAAAGACAAATACCATATGATTTCATTTATATATGGAATCTAAGGAACAAAATAAACAAACAAACAAAATGGAAACAGATTCATACATACAGAGAACATTGGCGATTACTAGATGAGAGATGGGTTGGGAGGCTGGGTGAAAAAGGTGAAGGGATTAAGGAGTACAAATTGTTAGTTACAAAATAGTCAGGGGAAAGTGAAGTACGGCATAGGGAATATAGTCAGTAGTAATATTGTAATAATTATGTATAGTACCAAGTGGGATATGAGAGTAATGAGAAGAATAACTTCATAAATTATATAATTGGCCTAACAGTATGCTATATACATAAAGCTAATATAAAATAATATTGAATGTCAATTCTAATTAAAAAATAAAAATTAAAAAATATATATGGCAAGGAAAGTAAGTGGGTCTTTTATGTGCTTGCTCCACATTTATGCCCAAAAAACATCATGCCCGAAAAAATATAAATCACTCAACCCTTACAAACTGCTTACTCTTCCTCTATCAAATCTTTTGTTGAAACCCTCAATAGGCGTGCAATTAGTAGGAGTGATTAACAAGCTTTTGCTTTCTCTTTCACTCAAATGCTAGAGTCTAGAAGAGAAGCATGGTCAGGAATATGACATGACTGAGCCTTATTTGCTATGACCATTCAAAATATTACTAATTTCTTGAAAAACAACTTAAAAATGTAGAAGGTAGAATTTAAATTTGCTAATTAAAAAAACATTTATCACCTACTATGTACAGGCACAGGTACTTTAAGAATTATTCTGGGATACAAAACAATAATATTTTAATAATAATAAGCAACAAATAATTATACAGTACATGCAAAAGGCCAATCTCTGTTTACATATATTTACTCATTTAATATGTACTCATGGGTTACATGTTGTTGTTGTTGTTGTTGTTGTTGTTGTTATTATTATTACAAAAGAAAAATGAAGTAAATTTCCTCAAGTGGAGTTGGGATTTGAACCCAGATAGTTTTGCTTTAAAGTCCATGCTCTTAACCATGTGAACACTACTATAAAAGCATTTTCAGTCTGGTGAGCAAAATAAAGTATGAAGCAAAATAGTTTGAAATAAGAAAAACATTCATAAGTATTAATATTGGCTCATGATAATATAATAATATGTCTAACTAAATGATATTTTTAAAAAGAGTTGTTAAAAGTAGGATTTTAAGTTAAACACTTACGTCCCAATTATGACATTACCCCATCTTTGTATCAATTGGCTTAACTCATTGGAGTAGTCTATGTACCTAACATTGCATAGTAAATCCCTCAACTACTAATTATATCTTAAGAAAATATATTAATGAGTTGGTTATTTTGGATTTGGATAAATTACTTTTAGATGCTAGGGTCCATTCACGTGAAGGTAGTATGTAACTAATGAGAAATTAGGTTTTTAGCACAGAAAAGAAATCTGATCTGGATTCATTCATCGATTATTTGCCAAATGCCCACTATATGAATATAGCCCACCTCTAGAACTTTGTAGTCTAATGAGATTTAGAACATTACGAAACAATCTTATCTGAAAGTTCTCAGGTCTTCCAGAATGCAGTGAGAAGTTATGTAATAGGTGATTATATAGCACTTTAAAATCTATAAAACACTTTTACATATATCATCCTCTTAGTTTTCACCTATAACTCTTGAAATAATGTTATTGATCTTCATTTTGTGTATGCAAAGATAATTTTAAAATGGTTAAACTTAAGATAGTGAAAATTTATGAGCTTTAGATTTGAAAACTTAATTAAAGTTTTAGCTCAACATTACTTAACTGTGTGACCTTGAGTAATATATAGAATGGAAACTAACATTTTTTTTTGATTTATTGATATATGGCTCTGAAACAAGGATTTTACAGATATTACTTTATTCTATATGGTACTATGTGGTACCTCTTACAGAAGTACCAATATTATGCTCATAAATTAATGAAGAAGCTGAGGCTCAGAGAGATTAAGTAATTTGAACAACATCAAAAAGCTACTAAATGGTAGAGTTTAGCTTTGAACTCTAGCAATTCAATCCACCAGCCTTCATTATCTTACTACTAGAACATATAACCTTTAATTTG